TATCATAATATGTTAACAACTAATATAGTTATTAATACACAAAATTAATTAAGCAAATGATAGTCCATTATGAATTACGAGGAAATACGTTTAATTTGAACCACAGACGGCAGCTTAATATTCATCCGCGTTACCGGATCTCTAAAATTTCATCTGCTATAAAGTTAGCCCTTTTCATTGGTTAGTTTGATAGTCATGATATGCCAGTCGTCTTCAGTTGAACTAAAACTAAGGACTTGATTTAGTCATAGTTAAAACTTCGACTATGTTATTTGTGAATACAAATTGAAGTTGAAGTTGCTCTAGTACTAAATGAAGTTCTAGTCCGAAGTTCGACTAAAGTTTGTTTTAAGAATACGGGCGTTAGTGTACTAAGGCAGTGGAGGTGCTAGGATTTCCCTGACAGGAGAAAAGTGGGTGTGGTCAGATGTCACTTGAAACCTTTCCAAAGTGGTCCAGGGGGGAGGGGGCGACTCCCTCACCCCAAAAGTATGACAATTTAGGGGTTTCAAAGACTTCTTTAATCGATTTTAGAGTTTACTATTATGTAAAAATACATAATTTGTTTTTTTCTCCCCGACGAATTGTGGATTTTCTCCCCAACCGGGGGGTTGGATTTGGGGAAAAACCTTCCTGACGGGGGCTGTATAGAAGGGATGATGCTTAGACACAAAGCATCTCTGGTGAAGAGATGCTGCTTGGAACTGAAGCACTCCTGTTGAAGCTATTGCTATCCAATTGGAAAGATGGTGCTCAAGTCCAGATAACCAAGAAATTATAATTTAGCCTAGAAATAATCAATCAATCAACTAACCAAACCTGAATGTAACTTTATGTAACAGCAAACAGTGGAATTATGTTACTTTATGACTATGAATAGCATACAGGACATTGCATTCCAACAACATACTATTGTAGTACACATGATTTCCTTACCCTGTTTAATTGTGTTTTCACACACTTCTTGAAGAGTGGGTTTCCTATGAACATTATTAGCTGTAGCAACAACACTATCCATAATCAATTAATAATCAATTAATCAACCAACAAAAATAACTTAAAATAATAATTAAATCCAATTTTTCAAAGGAGTGTGTCTTGCACTGAACTTATCCAGATGGCCATATCTATTAACTTAATGCTGTTGTAAGCTATCTTGACATCACTGGAAGATACCCCCTTGCTGATGGTATCTCCTCTGTAGTTAGTCCAATCACACTTAAAAGTACACAGTGTGTACACAACCTTTAGACTGCCATCTATTCTAAACCTAGTTAATATTAAGGGATGTACTCTATAGGTACCTTGTTTAAATAAACATTCATTAGTATTACAGGCCTATCACAACACATATTAAATGTTACGCAAAGGGAAAGAAGTTTCTTATGATATACCACAAATATTTTATCTACTTATGATTAGAATTTTGTTTAAATCCAATACTACATCTGTCTCTTATACACATCTAGATGTGTATAAGAGACAGATCCTATACTGTATTAAAACATGTCCTCTAAATTGACCTTAAAAAGAAGCTAAGCAATTGAGTGGATCCCTGAAGGTTAATTAGATGTCTTTCTGTCTGAAATGACAACTTTGTCATATGTCTACACCTGCCATCATTGAATATGTCACTTAAAATATGAACTTTGACTTAAAGTCTTATAGGTGAATGAATGACTGGACATTCCTGATTTAATATTGCAATATTTCTCTGTACCATGTGTAGACATTAAAATGTTTATTTTTCTTTTCACTCTCTAATTTGATTACACAGGTACCTAGTTAGGTTGCAAATGCGCTAAAATCCAAGAGTTTTAAGCATGTAGATAGAATGACTTGGAATGATGATGTACTGCATATTTGAACATTATTAAATATAGAATTGGTGCATTTTAGAAATGTATAAATTATTATTTAATAGGAATCTTGTAAGTGAATGGTATGCTAATTATTGTACATTAAAGGACACACTTATCATTTAAAACATGCACAGAACATTGTATTCTGCTTAAGTTAATATACCAGCATTTCAAATTCTTCAGGTGTACAGTACTTGCCAACTAGGGGTCGATCTGCCCAGCGGCTGATTAACACATTTTGCTGCTATGGTCATGCAATGTTTGTCTTTGGGATCAATATAAAATATGTTATGCAAGGTCCAGCATGGCATTATTCAATGTTATACAAGTCATTTTACATGCTTTTAGTATGCAGTACTTCTCTATAATCTAATCACTGAAGTCTGTATACAAGCTTTTAAAGCTTATTTATTAGCCTATATTTTTGCTTTCTTGCTCTGAGAGCCTAACAGACATCATATGAGTTTCCACAAGTGGTTCCCCTTTATTAACATCTTGACTATGTTTAATGTCTAGATTCAGACAGGATTTTGAGGCAAGGAAACCAATGGAAAATATAGGTCTTTCCTTATGACCTGACTTTGAGGTCAAACCTTGACATTGTGGGTCAAACGTTGTTCTTTTGTTTCCAAAATCAATACGGTCAATAGGCATTATCTGTCTGTGGCTGGTGATGATATAATATACCAGTCATCATTTTCAATCTCTAGGCATACACTACATTATTTATGCTAAAATATAATTCCCCTTTGAACAAGAAAATTCCACTCGCAATCTATAACCACATATACTTAAATGGGGAATATTTTCTATAACCATCAAACAATAACATCAACAATAATCGAACAAAAACAGCAACAAAAACAGCAGACACACATTACCTGCAGCTAATGTTTAAATCCAATACTACATTCAATAGTAATCATTGCGTGATAAGCACTCAATTTAGCCATGTGATCTGCCTATTGGGGCCAAGCACAGGCTATGCATGCATGTATGAACCAAGAACCTAAACCAATCAAATCTTTCAATACAATTTAAATTAAACTGTGTACTGTATGAAATCAGTCAGCTTTAGGCTAATAATATAAATATAACAGTTAATGAGAGTATTAGACAATAATCAGAATATTAATACATCAAGCACTATTATTTTGTCAAAATTCTACTGTATGTGTACTTTAATCAATGGTGAGGCTAGTATCTTGATCCTCATTAACGATTTAAAATGTACAATACAAGAAAAACATTTTTTTTTGGTACAACTCACATTGATTTTAATTAGATGGTCAAACTCTCATCATACAAAAACCACTAAGTTTTCAATTTAACTATGGTTGGACATTATTGTTTTAATCCAATCCACAAATACAATATACATCCAATCACCAACTGATGGTGTAATCATAGCCACTGCTTTATTAAATCACACCTTTCTTCTGCAATCTATAGGACATGCATTCTGCTTATAACCCAAAAATTGTGCTACCTCAATTATAAAATGCCAAACAAGTAAGTTATATAATCAAAAGAAACAGTGTTCCATGTACATTATTACTCAAATATTAATTAGTCAAATATCATTCATTCTATTTCAACTGTACAAATTTACATCATCTGTGCATGTTAGTTAAGAATAAAATTATGTATGACCAAAATACAAATGAAAGAATGGTGTCAGCAATCACAGTGTAGTTTAATGTCCCTGTGAATTAGTAAACATGTGATTCCCATTGAAAAGGTATCTCATTGACTGACACAATACATGTTTTATTAATGATGATGATGATGAAGATGATGAGTTTACAGATAACTACTATACAAATTGGGAATGGTTAGACACAGATCCTATAGGAAGTTGCTGTGTACCATGTTATCACCGTAATCACAACATGAAATGTATTCCAAATCTTAGCTAATCAGAGATCATCATTAGCTAAGACATGATTTTGTACACATGACCGACCATCTAAATAATTTATTTTAAATGGCAGAATTTCAAATAAATTTTGATGATTAAGAATTACTGTAATTATACCCCTTTTACACTGCAAGCAAAACTCCGGACACAACCCGGGATTTTGCAATACCCGGGCTAGAAACTCCCGAGTTGTGGTTGGTGTAAACGTCAAAAAATACAACCTGGGTTGCAAAACATCCCGGGATCGATGTGCGGGACGCATTCAGCGTTGGACAACCCGGGTGCATTCCTGAATCGCCAGTGTAAACAGCACCGAAATCGATTCCGGAGTTAGGCCTTACCTGGCGTCTACCGCAGTTGTGGTCAGGTAGGCCTAATCTTTGCTAGCAACAGGCTAGGCCTAGACACTTTTCAAATTAAACCCTCTGCGCTCCGGTAGACTTAATTCGCATAATTTTAAAACAATCTGCATATAAATTCTTTCAATATAGACAATAAATGCGGCTTTGTCACGACGAGGAACTCGAGTGAAGTGCTGCTCACCATCGCAACAAAAATTGAGGGCGGTATTTGAACCCGAGTTCGTTGCTGGTGTAAAATGGGAGCAGCTCGGGATCAACCCGGACTTTTTCGTTCGATGTAAATGTAAAATGCACCCAGGATCACTCCGGAATTAACACAGGTTTGTTCTGCCTTGGCAGCGTAAAAAGGGTATTGTATTAGACTTGAGAATTAGCATTCATTAAATTCTTTAAAATAAAGATGTTATTGGCATGAATTAGGAATTATCAAGTGTGTCTATTAGCATATTGTAAGTATAAACTGTAGGCATACTCGCGCGGAGATCATTATTAACTTTTAACTAATCAATTAGAATGCATTCCAAGTTGTGATCACCACTGTACATGACTTGCAAATATGGGTGCGCTGGAATGAGGCAAAACATTAAAATATTGGCTAACATGTATTAAAAACACCAATACACTGTATACAATCACAGACACATCAGCTAAAAATTAGTCCACAACAAAATAATCTTTGAATGTTCATTCCTTTATTTTAGAAAAGCAAAAAATGAATGAAAGTTGACATATATTAGCATGAATTTGGAAGGATGCCAAATTTGACCAAGTTGCATTTGATTTGAGCTGATGTGTCCGGAAGCATGTCTACATAAGACTGAAACATTTAAAACTTGTATCACACGACAACTATACCTCTAGGATCAAGCCTTGACAGATCTATAAGGGCACCTGGAATAGATAGTCATGCATGTACATATTACAAATAATTATAAGCAGAAAATTGCATTCAGAACATGGATTTCATATTCTCTGTTAGCAAAATGTAAAAATGCCATTTTTACATCAATGCCATGCTATAGCATGTAAACAAAGTGCATAAACACTGTACAATATTTCTTAAAATAATCTTGTACTATGTGTATTTAAAATGATATGGATTCATCGTACAACAGCAATGAACCAACATTTTTAGATTTCAAGGGATTTTGATTTTTGTAAAATCAAAATTAGAGTTAGCATTTAGATTGGGCTACGTTGACGTAACCAGCAGTGTTGAAGCAACAGACTATTGCAATAAACAAATCCTGTGCTAGCGAAGGGTAGGTTTACCTGCAATTAACACTATAATATAATTTAATAATACAAGAAATAGACCTTATGGTATTTTCATTTAATTTCATAAACAGAATTTATAAATCCTATTACTGTTTACATCATTGAAATGTTGCCGTTTGGATCTCGGCCTCCATGGATCGCTAGCCAACAGGGCCAACTCACTTTTTTTTACCTCGGAAAAAGCATTGTAAAATATAACAGCCCCACCCCTTCCTTTTTGGAAAGTGAAAATAATTGAAAAAGAAATTATTGATCACCCAAAACACCTCAGAGTTTATTTCTGGGAATCTCAAAAACAATAATTTCCTGAACCCTCATCATAGGGTAGTGTTGTCTCTCGATCAGTCTCCTTTCAAACCCCCCTTCTTACAGATATCTCTGGATCCGCCCATACGTAAGATTACAAATTATTAGTGACAAATTATATACAGTACTATCAAAATCGGATTCTAAATGTTGAAAATTAACTAGACTAAGAATAGCTGCAACAGTTCAGTACTCCCACCCTGGGTCTTTCAGGGCCCCTCACTTTAATAAATAGCAACACTATAATAAAATGCTGAAAGGTCCACTGTTTAATCTCAGATACTCCAAGTATGGAAATGCACGCCATTGACATTGTGTCGGGATTCAATATTTCAACACTAATTGTCATCATCAGTTCCAGGTGATGACATAATTAAAAGTCAAAATATTGAATCCCGACACGATGGTGTGCATTTCGATACTTGGAATATGTACCATACTATCTTATAATAAAATGCAGTGCAACTGGTGCGGTGGACATTTTTCAGCACAGGCAATTGTTGGTGATAATTATTGATGCACATTTTGTTCTAAGTTTTGCTGTTGTTAATTAACAAGTGAGGTAAATTAATAAAAAAAGAACAAAAAAGACCCAGGCTGGAACAAGCCAGGCTAAAATGACCCGGCCCATTCAGCATTCATTATAACTCAGCAGAGATGAATGGGTATGGGCCGACAGCAGAGCCTAGCCAGGCCCTAATTAAAGTAAAAAAATTACAACCAACCTTCAGAAGGAGATGAGCTGATTAAGGCAGGACTAGGCCTAGGAATTGATGGAGCTGGTGAAACTTCTTCCACCACTGCAGGCTCTGGTTCCTCCTCTGGCTGAGTTAGTGATTCTTCTACTACTGGTAAAGGTGTTGGAAAAGCAACATCGTTTGAATTACTGGCGGGAACTGGGATATCCTCGACCTCAGGCTCCTCTTCCTGCGGAGGCACTACTGGTTCCACTGGTTCTCCTGAGCTTCCAAATCCTCCAAGCAAATCCTCAACAGGGGCGTCATCTTGATGAGACGTTTCTGTGAACTGTGGCTGTGGGTCTGATGATGAGTCTGCTGGGGCTGAAATGGTTTCTTCAAAAGGTCTACTACTACTATCAGTTGTCGGGCTTGAGTCAAATGACACTAAATCAGAAGAATATGCAGCTGGTGGCTCATCTGATGGTGTTGCTGAGTAAAGATCTTCTTCGGCTGTGTCACTTGGTTTAGGCTGCATATCAGCAGAGTCAGCAGGGTTGTCTACTCGCACGAAATCGTCTGAAAGTAAATCTTGTTGTTGGTTAGCCTCAGCTTCAAATTTATAGTGCTGAAATTCTTCCATAGTAAATCGACTGTATACGCTGTATAATATATATGCTTGTTAACTATTCAAAGAAACACAATCTTTTCTTTTTATATTATAGAATTTCAGTTTTAACCAACGCGACAAATTTTTGGGGTTGCACACAAGTTCAAAATACTACTTCCGTCCGCACCTGAAAAGAATGACGTAATACATCTAACCTTTCACCTAAGAGCTACTGTACATGTTCAATTATTTACTTGGTAGGCATAGTAAATGGTATTAATATTGCTGGGCATTTATAGTTGATTATTATTCAATTAGGGTATAAATTAGTTAATTACACATCTATATCAAGTATTATTTCACAGAGACGGGATAAATATAGATGTTAAAACGTTAGAAGTTTGGTACGGTGTAAAGTTTTTAATTTGTAGTCTACTCAATTTTCCTCTTTAAAAAGTTTTGAACTTTAAAGGATTATATAACAACGTTTATTAATAACGTTTCAGTTTGGTGTTAAAAACGTTATTTTGTAGAACCATAAGTACGTACTTATAACCTAATTTCATAACCTCATAAGACTCTGCGTTCCTACAACGCGTATGTTAAGAACCGTGTGTTTGCCGGGCTGGGTTACTGTAGGACCTATTCGTATGTAACTTGGCATTTTATTTAAAGGCTACTCTTCTTGATCTATTTCTTGATTAGTAATTTAGTAAAGAAAGTTTTATTGATGTTGCTTTTCTATTTCTTGTCTATAATTTAGTAAAAAAAATGATTATTTTATTTATTAGTAACAGATCATCAGACAGACCTCAACGGCAAGCTGAGTCACATCTGTCGATAGAGGGTGCTTTTCATCTTTGACAGTAGAATTTTGAAGTTACTGTGTATCCCTTTTGACGCACGGTTACCGTACATTGGTAACTAGAAATGTTAGTACCGTAGGACTAATGGCTATAGATGAAAATTATTTTTATCATACCTATACGGAATGAAAATAATTATGGTTGAAACCCTGCTGGGTCAGAATGCGTTCAGTTATTGGTTTTAGTGTACTTAGTCCCGATAGTAAAACATGTCCTGGTAGGCAAAGAGAGAGGCCAAACATTTTAGAATGGTTTTTCATGGTCACTCCAAGGAAGAAACAATTAAGTTTTAGTGATGATCGATCCGGAGTAGGGTGTGGATATAAGGGTCGACTCTTTAAATAAAATCGCCAGACCAGATATCCGATCAACTGATCTGAATTAAACTTTCTGTAAGGGTTACCCAAGTTAGGCCCTACTTGGTAGAAGTGATTAAATGTTGGTGATGATCCCGACGTGTGGATTTGTATAAGTAATTAACGGTGCTAACGTCCCAGACCCAAATATCGCAAAAACTGATCAATGGATCTCTGAATTAATTAAACTTCCTAGAATGGTTTGTCATGTTCCAAGGAAGAATTTAATACATTTTGGTGACGATTCGGACAAGGCGTGGATAGAGGACCATTTAACTTTACTGACCTAGATATCTAAAAAAAAAAAAGTTGGTGGTGGGGGGGGGGGGAGTGGCGGTGGCAAAATAAGTTCTTGTATAATCACACAGAATTTTAAGTTAGTCCCTAGAAATACTACAATAAAATACAAAATAGATGTGACAAATAATCGTTTGTTAAATTATGATAATGTTTTATTATGTTGAACTTATTATTATTACTATTATTATTATCATCTCTATAATAATAATTATTATTATTATTATTGTTATTTTTACTATAATAATAGAAATAATATTAATAATAATAATAGTGATAATAGTAATAATAATAATAATAATAGATATTATTATTATTATTATTATTATTATTATTATTATTATTATTATTATTATTATTATTATGCTCTGTCTGTGGCTCTAGAACTACCAATACCCTACATTTTTAATAATTCAAAATTTAAGCTATATAACTTTTTGCTACTCACATTAAAAATTATATCCATACCTTACTCTAAAATGGCTTCTAAATGCTTCAAGAAGAACATTGGTCGTATGACCACTCGACAAACACAGCCATAATCCTCTAACCATTTACAATTGAGTGTCAATTACATATTATTCTATTAAGAATATTGCGATTGGTTATACTGCCCTACAACTGTCCTACATTTTGTTACAAAGTGCAGGTTTACCATTTCTTTAGTTTTTATCGCCATATGATCACATACCAATGTTGATGATATTAGTCTATAATTGGTAATATTAAATTATTTGTATCCACGTTGTATTTCCGTGTAATTTTAAATATAGACCCTGGTTTTATATTTATTTTAACATACGCTTTGAATTAGTACCGATAGCACTCGTGTAAGTAAGACGGCATGTTTCCATAAAACACCAGCAACGTGCTGAATTACAGTTGCTGTGACAACAACCACGCTGAGACGATGTTATAACTCATTATTAGAGTGCAACTAGACTTGATCATAGCGCTTCTTTGCTCTTGATCGATAAAACTCAGGCAACAGAGTAATTACATCAACATTAATAGCGCTGTCAGTGGAATGAATACGCACACTGCTACTGTTACACCACAGTCGAACATCATGCCTCAATTGCATTCGATGCTAGCAATCAATTGAGCATTTATCCCTCCATGGCATAAAGTTCTAGGAAACTGTGTATACGTCTAATTTAACCAGACTTTGCAGAAACTGTGAGTATTACCGAATTATTGTAAAAAACAAATTAATTTTTTTAATAAACCCTTTAGTGGCTGTTTTCATCGATGTTAGTTTTTAAATGAATAATAAAAACAAAAGTTGATACAAACAAGACGTTGTAATAGTAAAAAAATGATTACAAGAATTCTCGTCTTCAGTTTTAAAAATAGCTGGGTATATATAGGCTTATTCGATAAAAGGACTATAATAGTCAGTGGCGTTTCCGATTTAAAAGGTAGGAAAATTGTGACGAGGCCACCGTTTCATAATCGGAGGCAAATAAATGTAAAATCAAAACGGAGACACCGGTATCTGTGCCACCTCTACACTCTCAGGACCCACCTCTGGGCATTCATAATGTTTTTGATTTAAAGCACCAGTAATTTCTATACAAATTTAAGGCTACACATTATTTCTTATGCTTATTTAGTTATTTTTTTATGTGTATATTTTAATACCTTATTATTTTAAAGCGTAAATTTAATTATTTTTTTTATAGTCAACATTTTCGTTAACTGTAATTTGTCAGCCTTTTGACTGTTTAAATTTGCAATAGTTAATATAAAGTCCTTTATTATTGATGCAAATTTGTGTAGCAGTGAGAACAAACCACGATCCGTGAGTGCCACTGTCACAAAGGTGTAATAAATTTAAAAAAAAGATAAAATAACGGTATCCTTTAAAGATGCTTAATGAATGTCATTCACTCTTAATATGCAAACTGGGTATAAATTATGCAATTATATGGTAACGATATGGTAATGATATTCTCTCAATTAATCACTAATAGTACTGTACAGTATTAAATATAAACGTCTTGTTTGTATCAACTTTTTAAAGTTTAAAACCGAAGTGGCAAAATGTGAACAGGAAAAAATGTTTAAATTAATAAATAATCTTACTTCTAAAAATCATAAGAAGATCTTACCTTTACATGAGTCTTCCGAAGATCTTGCTTGCCGATTCTCTGAGTTCTTTCGCAACAAGACTCTCAAGGTTAAGATTGAACTTGACAACGACTCAGATAGTGCTAATTATATGCAGGAGGAACGTGCTGACGTACTCCCATTCAGAACATTCTCCAACGTGTCGCAAGATAATCTACGAAAGATAATTATGACCTCAAATCGACCTCTTGTCCTTTGGACCCCTCTTGGGTTCTGGAAGAATGCATCGATGAACTCCTTCCAACCATCTGTGACATCACCAATAGATCACTCTCATCTGGTATAGTTCCAAACACCTTCAAAGAAGCACGTTTAATGCCACTTATAAAGAAATCTTCTCTAGACCCGGAGAGCTTAAAGAACTATCGTCCGATTTCCAACTTATCCTTTATCTCAAAGGTTCTGATCAACTGACAGACCGTGTCAAATAATCTGCACAGTAAGAGACAATCAGCCTACCGTAAACACCATTCAACTGAGACCGCTCTGATACGTGTCACAAATGATCTACTTCGTGCGGTAGATGTGCACTGCGAAGCAGTACTTGTGCTGCTTGATATAACCGCAGCATTCGACACTATAAACCATAAGATACGGTACTATTGCAAAGGCTTGCAAATCGATATGGAGTTGACGGTACCGTTCTCAAATGGTTTCAATCTTTCATGTTAAACCGCACTCAATCTGTCACCATTAACAACTCTGAATCAAATTCATATCCCGTAAGCGATGGTGTACCACATTGGTCAGTATTGGGCCCTCTGTGTTTTACATTGCATACATCACCATTTGAAGATATTATTGATGCCCATGATGGAATTGAGTTGATGGTATATGCCGACGACACGCTATATGGTTTTCAACCCGTCTAACACATCTTGCACAATTACACAACTTGAATCCTGTATACAAGATGTCAAGAAATGGATGGTCATTAATAAACTGAAACTGAACGTTAATAAAACTGGAATTCTTCACATAAGGTCCAGGTTCTTGCGTCGCACTAAGAAAATCGATCACATTCAAGTCGGATCAGATCTTGTTCATACAGTTTCATCAGCACGCAATCTCGGTATTACAATAGACAAGCTCAGTATGTCATCTCATATTAAAGTCAGGCTCCGGAGGAAAAAATTTTTTTGATATGTTGTCGAACTGATTTTTCTAAGACAGAAAAAAGTTGATTTGACGAAAAACTGGGGAACGGTGAACGAGATACAGATTTTTGAATATTTAAAAAATGGGGGGAAAAGGGGCGTAACTGCCCATTTTTACACCTTATTCTCCCAGTTGTTAAATATTAAAAAATCTGTATCTCATTCACCGTTCCCCAGTTTTTCGTCAAACAACTTTTTTCTGTCTTAGAAAAATCAGTTCTACAACATATCAAAAAATTTTTTTCCTCCGGAGCCTGACT